CCCCCCCCCCCCTTAATCCGCAGAACCGTCACGACCACGCCCCTCCCCTCAGGACACACCGGAGGTCCCTCTGCCTTCGTGTGAGTGTGAGGGAGGGAGTGTGACCGAGTGTGAGTGTGTAAAACCTGCCATCCCCTCAAAATGGGATTGGTGGGGCGTGCCCCTCACAAAGATGGCCAGCGCCAGGCTACTCTGCTGTCAACACAGCGGAAAGAGTGCCCCTCACGAACATGGCCACCACCACACTCTGCTGTCCACCCGTTGGGGCTACTGCCCCTCAGAAAGATGGCCACATAAACCCAGCCACCGCCCCCCCGCCAACCCAACACGCCGCTAACAACGCGATAGGACGTGTGCCCCTCAGAAAGATGGCGGTCCCACCCGCCCCACAAAAAACTCCACCGAGAGAGCGCCACTCATAAAGATGGCCACGACCGCCCCTCACCCCATCATATGTATAAAGAGTGCCCCTGACAAAGATGGCTACCACGGTTCCACCCGACGGAGCATGCCCCTCATATAGATGGCCACCGCTGTCACATCCTGCTATGAATTCAACGGAAAGAGCGCCCCTCACAAAAATGGCTCTCCCGCCTCCCAATAAAATCGATTGCGTCCCTCACAAAGATAGCCACTACCACCCCCAACCAACTCGATAGAGAGAGTGCCCCTCACAAAGATGGCCACCACCACTCCACTACGCTCTGACTTTGATGGAGAGTGTGCCCCTCACAAAGAGGGCCGCCAAGACGCCGCTCCGCGGCGAACTCAACATGGGAGGGGTGCCCCGCACAAAGATGGCCACAGCCAGCCCGCCCTGCTGTCAACCCCGCGCGGAAGACGTGCCCCTCACAAAGATGGCCGCCGCCATTCCACACTGCCATCAATTCAATGGAGAGACAGGTCCTCACAAATATGGCCACCATTCCCCACCTCCAACTCAATGGGGATGGGGTGGGGGTTTGGGGGTGGGGGTAGGGGTGTGGGGGTAGGGGTTTGGGGGTGGGAGGAATCCCCCTTGCCACGACATCCAACAGCACCCCATTCTGATTAGGCTTTGATTAGGTCCTTTGAGTCTCTGTCTCTCGCTGCCTCGTCGTCCTTTACTAACAGAGCCTCCTCACCACCCCCTCCCTCTCTCTCTCTCTCTCTGTCTGTGTCTGTCTGTCTGTCCCCGCAGCTCGTGGCTGTGCTGCACCCAGATCTCTCGCACCGAGCCGTGCGACCTGAGCGAGCTGCACTACCCGTGCATCATTCTGTACGAGGAGCAGGACTTCGGGGGCCTGTCCCTGGAGCTGCATGACGACGCCGATGACCTGCTGCTGCTGGCCTTCAACAACGCCACCATGTCTCTGAAGGTGCGCGGCGCGCCTTGGCAGTGCTGCGTCGAGGCCGGCTGCTCGGGCGACGCTGAGGATGCCTTCGAGGTCTTCGAGGAGGGCTGCTACGCCGACCTGGGGTCCTTTGGCCACGTCATCTCCGCCGTCCGGGCCGTCCGCCACACTCTCGAGGACCCCGGGATGCGGATCTACACCAACTTCGACCTGGGCGGAGTCGGCAGGAACTTCTCGCGCCAGGTCAACTTGGCCTACAGTGACGTCAATGACCTGGCGTCGTCGCACGTGGTGGACTCCGGGGTCTGGCTCCTGTCATCCAACAGCTACAATGCTGGCCGCAAGAGGCTGGCGCAGGCGGGCACCGTCCTGGACTACTCCACCTACGGGCCCTCCTCCTTCAACGACATGCTGAGCCACTTGTGCCCACTGCGGCAGGGCCTGCCCATAGTGGTGGAAGTCAGGCTGGAGTGCGGCCTGGTCCAGAGCACATCCACCACGGAGGTCCTCAACGAGCTACTGATCCACAATGCGTCACCCCTGGAGCAGCTCCTGACGGTGTCCCACCAGCTCCAGACAGAGCTGGGGGTCAGCGAGTCCTTCACCTTTTCCAGCCACACCGTGCTGAGGGAGGGGGTCTCCTTCTCAGTCACCCTGTCCGACTTCTACTGGGGCTTCTACCTGACGCTGGGCACCGAAATGAAACTGGAGCTGGAGAGGGGCTTCCAGGTGGAGAAGGGGGTGACGGAGAGCTGGCGCCGCACACTGGGCCGCTCCATGGAGGTAGAGGCCCGAGTCCCGGCCAACCGCACGGTCAAGGCCACCATCCTGCTGGAGGAGAAGGTCTACGTGGTGCCCGTCATCATCTCCATCCAGCTGGGCTTCCAGCTCATCGAGGAGAGGGCCAACCTCACCTGCGTGGACCGTACCTGTGTCACCATCGAGTACGAGCTGCAGGACTGAGGCCCTCTCCCGGGGAAGGTCGGGGTGGAGGGTGGGGGGGATCCCCATGCGGCCAGGGCTTGGACACTGTTCTCCTCCCTCCGTCAGCTTCCCATTCTCCCCCTCCACTTCCCATTCTCCCCCTCTGCCTCCCATTCTCCCGCTCCACCTTCCCATTCATCCCCTCCGCTTCCCATTCTCCCCCTCTGCTTCCTATTCTCCCCCTCCGCTTCCTATTCTCCCCCTCTGCCTTCCCATTTTTCCTCTCCCCTTCCCGTTCTCACCCTTCCCTTCCCATTCACCCCCTCCACCTTCCCATTCTCCCCCTCCACCTTCCCATTCTCCCTCTCCGCTTCCCATTCTCCACCTCCACCTTCTCATTCTCCCCCTCCGCCTCCCATTCACCCTCTCCCATTCTCCCTCTCCCCTTCCCATTCTCTCCCTCCACCTTCCATTCTCCCTGCCCCCATTCTTCCTCTACCCCCTCCCATTCACCCATTACCCCTCCCAGTCCCCACCTCCTCTCCCTCTCTTTTCTCCCTTCCTTCCCTCCATCTTTCTCTCTCTCACTCTCCAATTTCCCCTCACCCTGCTGGGCTATCCTGGGAGTGGAGGGATGGGGGTGGGGATTTGGTGGGGGTTTATTGGGGTGGGGGGGGTTAGTGACATTGTGAAGGGATGAGGGTGGGGGTTCTGCCTCAGGGTACAGAGTCTGATGGGGGGGCTGCCCTGGGGGGAGGGGTTTAGGGCAGACATTGTGACAGACAGATAGAGAAAGGGACAGAGACAGAGAGAGAGAAAGAGAGTGAGGGAGAGTTAGAGAGAGAGAGAGAAAGACAGTGAGAGAGAGAGAGAAAGAGAGTGAGACAGAGTTAGAGAGAGAAAGAGAGTGAGAGAGAGTTAGAGAGAAAGAGAGAGAGAGAGAAAGAGACAGAGAGAGAGAGAAAGAGTGAGATGGACAGAGAGTGAGAGAGTCCCATGCACTGCCCTCCATATCCTTACCTCCCCTCCTGGCTTTTCACTGCCTCATCTTACCCCATTCCCCGCACCTGTCTCTTCCCCCCCCACCCCCCTTGCTTGCCCCCTGCCTGATCCTCTTGCCTCATTGTCCCTCCTGTCTGCCGCATTGCCCCCTTCCTGCCTGGCCCCTTCCTTCCTGCCTATTCCCTCCTTCCTGCCCCCTTCCTTCCTACCTGCCCCCTTCCTGCCTGCCCCACTTCCTGCCTGCCGGATTGCCCCCTGGTGTGACGTGACCCTGCTGCTTTAGAGGTTTTGAGAAGATTTGTTGCTGTCTGTGAATTTCTGCTGGAACTGAAGCCAATAATTAAAGAGCTTTTGCTGCTGCATTGCACACAGTTTGGAGTCTGTCTCTGTCTGTCCGAGTGAGCGGGTGGGAGCGTGGGCGGGCGTGAGCGGGTGGGAGTGTGAGCGTGGGCGGGCGTGAGCGTGACCGTGGGCGGGCGTGAGCGCGGGCGAGTGTGAATTTGAGCGAGTGTGAACGTGGGCGAGGGTGTAAGCAAGTGGCAGTTAATGTGGGCGGGTGTGAGTGAGAGTGTGCACGAGTGGGAGTGAGTGTGGGCGAGTGTGAGGAAGAGGTGAATGAGAGTGGGTGTGAGCGTAGCGAGTGTGAATTTGGGCGGGTGTGAGTGAGTGTGTGGGAGTGTGAGCGTGAGGGAATGTGTGTGTGAGTGAGTGTGAGCGTGTGTGTGCAGGTGTGAGTGGCTATGAGTGAGTGTCAGTGGATGTGAGTGTAAGCGTGGGTGAATGTGACTGAGTGTGAGTGTGTACAACTGGGCTATCCCCTCAGTGGGCAGAGTGCCCCTCACAAAGATGGTGACTCACCCCCCCCC